AGTTATAAAACAATAATTTCCAAGCACAACAGAATTTGAAGAACTGGGGTTAAATATAATTAAATATAAGAAAAGATGGAGTGCTTTACGGCAGAGATTTTTTGCTTTTAGATTGGACAGATATTTAATAATAGTCAAGGCAACCGTACTAACGATGAATTTGTTATTTTCTATTTCTATCATTATTACCATGGATATATTGAGGGTATTCACGCAGCCGCTGTAATGTGTACTAAATATCAAATTTTTTTACACAAGTGTTCGCATAACAACCGAGGTCATATAAAGCCGGTGTATTTTGAAAAAAAGCCCATTTGTAAGTACGCCGGTTTCGAATACAGGGCCGCTGGATTCGAACCCGGGACCTTTACCTTACAGTGATGAGAGCCGGTCATCGCCTGAACCGTTGCGGTCACCGACGCCCCTAGTGCCAAGTTATTAACCATTGAGACATTGTAAAGGGAACGACCCAGCATATTTCATTTCATATTTCACAAGTTTAGTTATAATGACGTAATTAGTATTAAACAGTAACTTTTGACTCAAGTCCGTCGTCCTGCCCCGGGTTTCCGTATTATTTGAAAATACACAAATTCCCTCGTAGCTTACTTTTTGCAAGCCGAATCGATTTAGGACCCTCAAGGAAGATATTAACGTCGAAACAGTGCTAAGATGAATTTTAGCCACCCAGGCCGTGAGTTGAAAGAGAATTATGTGTTTAACTTCAGGGCTAACAATAAGTGAGTGCTAACTCCAAACGCACTGTTCACCTGTTTTAATAGACATGTTTATTCAGAAAGAAAAACCAATCTGACAAGCCGAACCAACAATAAACACCGTCCTAAATTCTCGCTTCTAATAGTAGGCGAATTAGCTCATTCCTATTTTCTACAGGAGACTTAACAACCAGTTTATATGTAACCCAAGATCTATACTTTATTTCCTTTGCACGAATAGACTATGATCTACTACCATTTTGATCTGTTAGACGCGGTTCTTTATTTCGCGTTATTTAGTAGTTGTATGTATGTTATTTTGTCAACCGTGTCCTTTTTTATGGTTCCAAAACAACGCGGCATATGGCTACATGCAACGCATGAAAAACTAAAGAAATGGTGATAAGCGGAACATGAAACGACGAAAATATAACCCCACAGATTTTGTCGGTCAGACAAGTTTCATGTTTTGATTCAATCATCTGTTTTATTTGTCAGTTGAGTGCCTTTTTAAGTGTCAGTCACGTGATAGACCAAAACTGCCTACAGGCCGACTAAAATATCGGAAACGACCAAGCTGTTACAAGGAGTTCAAACGAAGCTGTATATTATTTTAATTCATCTTCAAAATATTAAACTGAGCAACCACAAACTCTTCGTATGAAAATCCAAAGTATAAGAACCTTCTCGAATACACGACGTTTATTTTTACCAACGAGCCTCCGGATCAATTTTTTGTTAGGTAAGTACAAATGGAGAGGAAAAGAAAATTGAATCCTACTGGCAAAAGACCTGGATACAATCCTGTCTTAATTGAAAACTTGTACGAACAAGCGGCTTGATTAATCTACGACCGAGCTGAGGAAGACGGAAACAAATACTAATTGAATTTTATCGATGAAAGGCACAAAGAATTCATTAGATTTTGAATTAGAAAAGTTATGTCACTGGGCATTGTTTACGATAGGATTACAATGAAATTCTCTTCGAAAGGGGCCAGTGTTGTAATCAACGTTTAAGTGTATTTACTGGTGACGTTCATTGATATCTACCTAATGGATGAATAAATCACATTCTTTGTAGGAAAACAATTATACAATTATTAATTAAAATAATAAAATAATAATTAATTAAAAAAATACCGTTGACCATTTTTAGATAAACCATATATGTTTTTATTAGTAGTTATAATTGACCGCATTAAATATTTTAATTACTTATTATAATTTTTATCGAAGGTCTTGGTTGAGATGAAAAGGCTCGTGTCACGTGCGGGGTTCGAACCCACGACCTTCGGCTCAATACGGCCCTGCTCTAACTACTTCACCTATCGTGAATACGATCCACTCGGACAATAACTCCTTATCACTACCAACAACCGAAAGGTACACCACTTCATAAGTCACCGAGAATCGGATCCTGAAAATATGGTAAAAAGAGGGAAAATTCGAAAGGTCGTAGGAGTAGTTGGGCTCGGGTCTTACATGCCTATAGAAGCCCCTATTCTTACAAGGGTGTCCGCTTTCTCGTTACCTTCTACTCCCTCATGTCCTGGTACCCAGTAGGGGGTGATGCATACCTAACCTGATTAGTTCGGTTTTGCAATTCAGCACCATCTTTGTGCTAATGATATTTGAACTTTGATGGCAGATTGGCTATCTGAGGAAACCCTCCTTTTAGTTCTAGTAAATCTACCGCCGAACAATGTTCTTCTTTCAATTGTTGGCATGCCAATCGCACATGTACGTACAGCTACGCAGATAGTGTGTGTGTGTGTGTGTGTGTGTGTGTGTGTTTTATATACTATATAGTATGTATTGCGTATTATATATATATATATATATATATATATATAATATTACAATATAATATAATTAATATTTTATATATATAATACAATCATATGTTTTATTTACGTTATATCTGTTTTATAATATATGTATCTAAGTATTATATATATATTATATAATAGATAAATGTATATATCTTTAAACTTTTCGACAATCTGCCGTTCATTTAGTTTTCTTTCTTAATCATTTTCACGTCCCATCTTCTATCAATCAGGACCAATTTTCTACTCAACGTTACAAGTATTAATTTTCCTTAGGAACTGCTGCGCGTCCTCATGTTAGGAATTGAAAATGAACTTACTTTTTTGTAATTAAACAAAATCAATTTAATTAGGAAAAGGCTGTGTTACTGCTAGAGCAGAAAATTATTCCCCGTTCAATTATTAACAATTGATCCGCTCTTTATGGAGTTTCCTTTGAATCAACATGTAGGTCAGATTATGAACTGGAACAAACCTATATTATCTGAACTAGCTCTTGGCTTTAATATATGTTAAAACATGTATTCAGAGCTAATTAGGCTAATAAATTTTTGATATACCGACGATGTTTGTTCTTCTTGTAAAGAGTTAAATCATTTCCCTTTCATAGGTATGTTTACTTTTGTATTCTGTTCATTTGTATTCATTGTAGATGTTTGAGATCTCTTTTTTAATTTTCAAACTAATTTATCGCAAAAAAGGCATGTTTTTGTTGTAAACTAACTCCATACGATATTGTATGGTTTTATTCGTTATAAATTTGTTTATCGGTTTTAGGCGAAGTTTGGTTGGAGAAGTATTTGTTTTAGTCGACGCGCATAAAAATATACGGTTATAATTGGCAAATTTTACGTATAAAGAAAACAACCGTTGTCAGAACGGATACCAGTTAATCCAATTATTCGTCTAACCCTGCCATCAAGGTACGTCGTGCGACACAAATATAATTGGCCGTAGCTTGATACACTCCAAATCCGAGTAACGACTTGTTAAATTTTTCCGACATATTTTCTCCTTTTACATCTTCCCAAAATACACATTTAAGCTTGGTTGGTTCATTAAGGGTCTTAATCCCCTTGCCCAAGGATAATGACCGCCCTCCTGTAATGAAGAACTCACGGGGTGCCTTCCAGCGTTAAAACCTCCATACCTTTCAAAGTAGTTTTCCTAGAAATCCACGCTGGAATGCCGACTCATCACCGATTCGGTTTTCATTCATGGTGGAAAAGCTCGTTTAGGGGTAAACTGTGAAGGTTGGCTACTAGAAAGAACGGACATAATTATAGCGAAATTATTTTTCCTACCTTGTCTAACAGGCAAATAATCGCACTTAAAAACAGCCCCTACGTAAATGGCCAATTTTTACTCATAAATTGTTCAAAAATTCTAATAATCTTTTAAAATATATGACAAACTGGCCTGGAAGGGTGCCCCAGCCACACCAGAAGGCAACAAAAGACATCGCCAAAGAAGTCTGCCCAACTACATCTGTTAACTGGACATTGCCGATTCAATAGACCTTTGAAAATATTAGAAATGGCATAAGTTAGCACATGCATTGTATGTTTCTTTTGAAGGCATAAGAAGAAGAAGGTTTTTACTGATGGCCAAGCTAAATCCAGCTAATATCTAAAGAACGACATGGGTGTTGTTCACGCGAGTCATGAGTCTTAAACTTAATCCATTCTGCAATTGTCCCTCTTTTTAGGCAGATTGATAGCCTGAAGTAGGAATAAACAACGCATACTAGTAGGAGCACCATAGGACTTAGCTGATGGACCTGGTTCATACGTCTTTATAGCCAAATGAATAAGATAAGGGTCAATTCAGGTGAAACAATAAATAATAGTGTGTGGCACAATAAATAATAGTGTGTGGCACAATAAATAATAGTGTGTGGCACAATAAAGAAACTTTTTTCTAAACCACAAAACAGCATCTCACGATCACCAAATATTAATTAATAAACAATAGAATGTCCTATAATGTAGCGTACGCTGACGGCATAATCATAAGTCGCACTAAGGCAGCAGGACAAGAGACCCTGGATTAATTTGAAATGCTGGCAAAGCTCATAGGCCTTAAGGCAAGCGAGGGGTAAATTCGTCTGCGGACATCCAGAAATCCCCCAATCAACCCTGAAGATGTGCGGTTAAACGAGCACATTTCAATATGTTCCACAGTCTATTTTCTTAATTTTCTAGTGTTGTCCACAACTAAGTTTAAGATGCGGCAAAGCAATACTGCTATTTCTTCATCAGGGAGGAAACTATGCTGAGCTACCCAAGCAGTACATTCCTTGGATGTTTTTCGATATCGCATTCCGATACATTACCATATAAATATATCGAAAGAAAAATCGGCTTATTAAAAACAAAGAAATGAGTTATCTCGGTTATATTACGCATTTCAATGGTTTTTACTGTTATAATGATCATATACTTAATGATTACCTGTTTATTATATCGCAGAGGAAGGTGTCAATTTTTATAACCGAACCCTCCAATTAGAAGAGGGTTTCCGCCTTTTTGGCCATAGAATTTTTTCCTGAAAAAAAAAGAAAAACGTAAGGGGTGAATTATTATTGACATTATTATTATTAACTTGCACATATGGTCAATGATTATTTCTAAAGGCAAGATTGGGGCTTTTTCCGCATAAGTTTCCGGACGGAAAAATGCTAATGAAGCCCGAAGAAAAACGGGTGGAATAGCATAAAACTGCCGGTGTTATACTATTATTGATCATTAAATCTATTTAATATAGGTTAAATGAAAAATACCGTTATTATCCAATAAACCCTACTTTTAAAAATAAGCGTACTATTAAAAATGCCTATTTATTTTGACATTGACGTGATATTTACTTTAACACATAATTTACGGTTCTGAACGTCAATTTAAAATGAAGCAGTACATTTTCTCTTAGCTTTAATTGTAAGTAATCGTTGAAGCTAGTAATTATCCAATGCGTGTGGCGACTATTACGAAAGATAAATTTTTCTTTCTTTTACTCAAAATAAAATGTTATAAATTGAGATATATAAAATGTAATGTATGAATACATATAAAAGCTGACTTATTCTTAATTAATCTAGTATACCGTATAAATGAGTTATTGCAGAATGCATACATAAAACATAGCATCAAATGTGTTATTTTTTGTCCTTTTACCTTGTAAAATTATTCATGAAATTGTGTTGAATAAAAACACAGAACCACGAGGACAATTTTCCCCAGCGGTTAGAAAACCTTTAACATTCGGCTGTCACGAAATAATTTATGCCATTAGATTCTTGTTGGAAAAAGAAGGACGACGTCTAGAATTGGATAATTGAGATTAGTGGACCTCCCGTGAGATAGAAGACACCCAGGGTCTTACAGATAACCGACCACGTTTTATTTTTTTCTCGGGGTGCTTTTTCTTGACTTCTCTGAACAAATAATCCTGCATGTGAAAGTTCCGAACGTAAGCTAATAAGCATTTTCTCTTTCAAGTTCTCCCTACTGTATAATGTAGTAATAAATAATTTATAATCATCACATTGGTCGCAATCAAAGACAATCCTTATCACATTTTCATATTTATTGGTCAGACGTTTTAGTCCAATGTTTAATATTTTTAGTCAATAAAAAGTACGTCAAAGTGCTTAAATAAATGCTAATTTAAAAGAAAGGTATCGCTGTTAATGAAATTTTCTCCTAAACAATAATCTGCAAAATTTTTCTGTATTCAAGTTTGTAAAAACACAATTCAGAGTCTAGAGAAATGCAAAATATTAATTAATTAAATTAAATTTCGTACGTTGTACTAATAAATACTTGAAAATTTGTAATTTTCTTTGCCAATCAAAGAATATACTGGCCCAATTATCTCAGCATGTTTTGAGCGAAAGTACTGATAAAAGTTGAGATTTATACCTGCCTTGCACTCTCAACACGACACGCAAGAATGGCTCACTTACTCAGAAAACAAACACTTTGAGCCCTGAAGATGATCTCAATAAAGATCGAAACCTTGGCACGATAAAGAAAATGTTTTTCTGAGACCTACATCACACCAGACCGCATCTCGCGATTTCTGAATAATTATCGACTAACGGTCACTAATCACCACACATTATTAATTTTGTTTTAATTAAATAAAAAATCAACCATCGAGCATATGGTAGTGGAAGCCTGATGGTCTCTTTTAATCATGTTTTTTATTCCATAGAAGCAATATCTAAAATAAATACGAATTTGTATCGCAGTTTGCAGTTTTTCTAGACGTTTTCGGTTCACTCTTAAAACTTTCTGTTAACTTTTGCATTTTGTTAAGTTTGCATATAAACAATATCAAGCATGTTTCGGTTAAAAAGGTCTATGTTCAATAATGCTTGTAGTTACAACAAAATAAGTATATATTTATAAAAATAAATACAGAACTAGAGTTATTAAGATATAATTTTGTCTTACTCTTAAAGCAGTTAATCCGTGAAATATATTTTTCCTGCTTAAGTTTGACAGATTCGACTTCCTTCCCCACCCCATCAAAATCCAATGTATATAAACATAAAACAGCAATAGCTAACTGGCATTCTCAATAGGACACGCTAGAATGGCACGATTACGCAGAAAACAAACACTTTGAGTGAGTAGAAATACTTTGATTGAATATAAAAAATATTTTTTTGCATTGTCTAAATTCACATTTTTCCATATCCTACATGTATTTGTTAAATTTAAACACTGTTTGTAAATTCCATGCCCTGAAGATGATCTCAATAAAGATCGAAACGTTGGCACGATAAAGAAAATGTTTTTCTGAAACCTACATCACACCAGACCGCATCTCACGATTTCTGAATAAGCATCGACAAACGGTCACTAATCACCACACATTTGTACAGAAAAAGCTTTTCCTGTGTAAAGGTCAGTTTTTAACCAGTACCGAATGCACAAAAATTTAATTTTATTAATTTAAATAATCGATCACTGAATTACACTCGGCAATTTGCAAGCCAAAATCGCTAGCATACATTTTAATTCAATTTGTAAACACCGACCGGAATTGACAACTATCCCCTTCAGAGTCTCTAACTGGGAGGCAGAAAATCATTACGAAGTTTTCAGCACAACTAGTCCAACTATCTGAAATTGAAACTTGAAAAACGTAGGGTTTAAATTAATTGAAAAAAGATAACGTGAAATTTATTCTCAAAGAAAGAACTATCTAAGATCAGTAAGCAGGCGTGAACATTAAATATTTATCACGTAGTACTTCAAAATTTTAAGTTTTTTAAGTTCTGTATTATCTTTACCCGAGAATTACTCGGGAACAAGGAATCTAATTGGGAAGAAATTTCAATTCCACAGTTAGTGTAACATCACTCATGAGATTTTACTAGTGTCTCCTTGGACGTCGTTTGTCTGCATTTAATCCCAGCCGGGTCAACTTGTTACAAAAGGCTCAACTCCCTTGTTTAACTCCCTCCTATAATCTCAGCTAGGCCAGTATCTCAACGGGTCTTTTAGTCAATTTTATCGATGACGCCGTATGTTTGCATTTGATATCAAATTTAGTAAACACTGTCATATTTTCTCGTAATTAACTGATCTTATCGCTTTATTGAGAGGGACTCGAGATTCCACGAGATCGATGGAACAATTAATAATAATTTATCGAGTCTATAAACTCGTGTGACGAGTGGAGAGAATCATTTTCTATAAAAAGACAATGTCACAGTCGAGTGTTACCTGTTTGTGATTTCATAATAAATACTTGAAATGTTTTTATTTCATTAAAAACACATACAAACCAGACAAAACAAGTATGCAGTTATTAAATCAAAATACTACAAATTTGCAACAATTTATTACTTAGAAATTTACATTGATGCTATGTAGATGTGTTAATCAGGGCGAGTGATGATATACTATGCTTTAGAGCTACTGTACTCCCCATTTTGACTTGAAACCTTACAGTTACAATGTCTATTATGAAATTTATACGAGAAAACATATGGTTGCCTGGGGAACCAAGCATGTTCTACACTTAAATTCACATCTACAATAATAACCTTAGATGTAGATGTATTAATCGGGGTGTGTTATATACTGCGCCCTTTAGAGGTTTTTTTTTTTTTTTTCTTTTTTTTCTTTTTTTTTTACTGGGGCTTCCGACATCTGGGTCATTTCAGCCCCAAGCTAAGTCAAGTCAATATTCTACTTACACTTCTATTTACAAACACTACATTCATACAGATAAATACATTCATACACATAAATACATCCATACAATACACTCATTCCGTTTGGTCGGTGGAGTACTTGATATTCCTCCACCGACCTATACTCGAACTAAACTAGATTGGGGTCGATGGAGTACTTTTATAAATATTCCGCCATCGACCCCGAACACATACTCATACGCTCTCATCGTTCGAGGGGCGATGATGATGTTATATTTCACCCTCACCCCTCGCCATTCATGCTAATAAATACATGCACTCAGACAAACATATAGACACACAACACATGAGACATACTATATACAATAAAAAAACCCAATTTCCCGTAAAAATCGGAACAGGGGACCCTGAAACCCGCTGCAGTGCTCGAGTACCTTCTTCAGATTGGATGGCATGCCTACGCGCTCCCTGTAGGGAGCCAAGGCATGGCATGTTTCCAGTATGTGGGACACATCGAGCAACCTTTCTCTGCATAAGGGACACCTGCGCGGGCTTTGGCCCAAGAGCAGGTGGCCGTGTGTCAACCGTGTATGGCCTATTCTTAATCGCGTTAGGACGATTCCTTGTTTCCGGCTCAGGTTCTCGGGGGGCCATATACGAATCGTGCTCTTGACGCGCAAAAGCCTCTCGGACGACCCGGCACACTGACGCTGCCATCTTTCTTTTATCATGGTCTTTACTGCTAGCTTGGCGTCAGAGGGCCTGGTCGCGATGGTCCGGTCTGGAGGGTTGGACGTCCCGGCCTTTGCCGCCTCGTCCGCACGTTCATTACCCTCCAGCCCGACGTATCCGGGGATCCAGACAACAACCACCGTTTTTCCGAAGCGCTTCAACTCGGCGATTTTTTCCATCAACAGCACGACGAGAGGGTCCAAAGAGAACCCGTCCCGCAGGGCCCAGACAGCGCTCAGAGAGTCGGTGCATACGAGGAAGGCTGATCCTTCCTCGGTCCGCACCGCCTCGAGAGCGTGCCAAATCGCGTACAGTTCTGCCGTGTATATGCTGCAATGGGGGGGGGCAGCGACCAGGAGGTGGCCACTCCTTTGCTATACACGGCACAGGCCACACCATCGCCAGTCTTGGACCCGTCTCTAAAGACAAGACCAAAACCGGCGTACTTGTTCCTAAGTTCAAGGAAGAGCTATTATATCCCCCCTTCTGACTTGAAAGAAAACCTTACAGCTAAAGTGTCTATTACGAATTTATACGAGTAAAAATATGGTTGCCAGAGAACCCAAGCATGTTCTACACTTAAATTCACACCTACGATAATAACGTTAGATGTAGACGAAGTTGTATTAATCGGGGTGTGTGG